TTTCAACTGTAGAATATTTTCTCTCAGCATTACTTAGTGTCCTTGAAGCAAATGCAACAGTCCTCTCTGTGTTGTCCTCATGAAGTTGTGTGAGGACATCCCCAAGTCCATAATCAGAAGCATCAGTAGTTACAATTGTGGGGAATGCAGGACTGAATAATGCAAGTACTGGACTATGTACAATCAAGTCTTTCACCCTTTCGAAACTAACTTGTGCATCCGTTGTCCACACTAAGGTTGAACTTCTCCGTAGTAATTCTCGTAACAGTTCAATGACAGAAGCATAATTGGGAATGAATTTTGCATACCAGGAGGTAAGACCCAAGAAGGAACGTAAGGTTTGCAAATCTGTTGGAGGAGGAGCATTTGAAATTGCCAGGATATGATCTGGATCAGGTTTTAGTCCAGCCTGTGAAATTGTATGCCCCAGAAAGGAGAGTTCAGTTTGTCTAAATTTGCATTTGGACCTATTGAGCTTGAGGCCTGCTTTGCTGGTGCAGTTTAGTACAGACTGCAGGTTATTGTCATGCTCCTCAGTAGTATTTCCAAACACAATAATATCATCCAAATAGCACTGAACTCTATGTTGATTCTTCAGAATCAATGACATCATTTTTTGAAAGGCACTTGGGGCTGATGCGAGATGGTATGGAACACATTTAAAACGAAATAGTCCCTCATGTGTAATAAATGCTGTGAGGTCTCTGCTATCTTCATGCACCATAACCTGGTGGTATGCGCTCTGCAAATCAAGAGTAGAAAACATCTTTGCTCCACGGAGTTCTGCAAATACTTCCTCTGTGTGAGGAAGAGGATGGCTGTCAATCACAATAGCTTTATTTGGCTCCCTTAAGTCCACACAAAGGCGAATATCTCCACCCTTCTTCTGCGTCACTACTATAGGTGAAACTCAGTCTGAGGAGTTAATCTCTTCAATAATGTCCTTTTGAACAAGTTTTCTAAGTTCCTCTGAAACAGCTTCCCTGACTGAAAATGGTAAGCGCCGTAATTTCTGTCGTACAGGCAACACATTATTCCGCATTTTAACTTTATGCAGAAACCCGTAAGCACAGCCGAGTTTCTCCTCAACCTGGAGTTGGGTCCCAGCTGAAACTGGTGTGTGTACCGCAAGAGTGCTTTGCTGAGGAAGATCAATTCGTCCATTAACTACCCTGAGATTTAAAGCAGCTAATAAATCTCTGCCAAGGATAGGAGTGCCTTTGTGGACAATGTAGAACTCCGCAGTTACACAGCAATCACCAAAAGTAACTATTGCTGGCAAGCAGCCATGTACTGGAATATGGTTTTTCAAATAGCATACCAAGTGAAGTTTGGGTTCAGTAAGAGGCACATCTTTAAAGTAATGCAAATAGATGGAATCAGGTAGTATAGATACTGCTGAGCCAGTGTCCAACATTAGCTGAATAGAGTGTGATTTGCCTGAGGGTATGGCAGAAACATTTACAGTGCACTTTATCTGTTCTGGAATATGTGCAGTAGTGATTTTGTCTACACTCAGCACAGTAACATCTGGTATTGTAACTGCATGCACCTGTTGATTGAACTGGCTACTGCGACATACTTTAGCAAAATGCCCAATCTTTTGCAATGATTGCACTGAGCTACTTTTGCTGGACATCCTGTGAAGCTTGCAAGATGTTGTGGGGATCCACAGTGAAAGCATGCTTTTACTGTATTTTGCATTTGCTGATTCGCTGGCTTTTCATTAGTTTTCCTTTTGCAGTTGTTTGTCTGCAGTGATAGTGAACTTTTCTGCAAAGGAGTCACAGCCTGGACTGGGCCTCCTGTACCCTGGCTCATTATTTTGGCTTCAGCTGTAGCTGACTCAATCTGAGTAGCAATGGTTATTGCTTTTTCCAGTGTAAGTTGTGGTTCTAGAAGTAAGCGTTCTCTTACATGAAGCACTGTTGTTTTCTCAATGAGCTGGTCTCTAATCATCTCATCTGCCATATTCCCAAAGTCACAAGTTACAATCAGACTCCTCAGGGAAGCCATATACTGCATTATAGTCTCCCCTGATTTCTGCTCACGCTGGCGAAATCTGTAGCGATTAGCTACTACATTCACTTTTGGCACAAAAAAGTTCTTTAATGCAGTGAGTGCAGTCTCATATTTATCATCTGCAAGGGGAAAAGTGTAGAATATACGCTGCCCTTCTGCTCCAAGGCAGTGGATTAGCAGAGCACGCTTTCTTACTTCAGAAATCTCTGTAGCACTGATTGCAAGCAGATAAGTCTCAAACATACAGATCCAGGCAGTAAAAGCAATTGGAGGCTCACTTGGGCTTTGCAGAAAGGGTGCAGGTGGGTTCAGAGGCAGAAGATCCATCCTCGTCGCCAAAATGTTGTATCCACCAAGCAAAGTATTAACAACTTCAACAGAACTTTATTTACAGTGGAAGTCTCTTTTCCAAGCTGTAGCTGCACACGCTGTAACTCTCCCAGCCTCCTCAACTCCTCCCCCCTCCTTCCTGTTTCCTGTCCTTTCAGACTCCCAACAGCCAGTGCTCCCAGTTCTAATAATCACATGCAGCATCTAAACACCACAGCAGTGTGGGCCAGGGGCACCAAAATACAACTGTACATTATTATTATTATTATTGAGTCTGCAAAAGGAAAAAAACCCACATCAATAAATTACAATGTTTTTTCCTAATGTTAATGAAGTATTTTAGGAAAATTTGTCAGAGTGGCCACCAGCAAGAGTTGGTAGCCTCAATCTGACACCGCCAAACATTTTGTTGTGAGAACCCCTGCACTAGAACAACAAAAGGCCCACCTCCTTAGGTGTGGGAAGAAGCCACTGAGCCCAGAGATCAACTGATTATGGGGAAGAAGAATGAAAAAGCTGGGGGTAGGGTTGCAGGCCAAAAGGTCAAAACAAGGGATCCAGAGAGGGACACTATGTAGACAACCCCGGAAAATGCCCACTGCTTCAAGAAAGTCAATGGACACCACCCAGAAGATTGACAATTCTGGACGCCGAAGTCCTCAATTTTTTGAAAGGCCACTTTCCCTTTTGCATACACAAAATTGTATACACACGTATTTGCATCTGAACTTTGCTAATGCTTGTGTACCCTTCTTAAATAGTCTAACACTTGCATGCACTCTGTGTTTGAGTGGTCCCAGTGGATTTTGTGGTTGCTGCTTCTAACACTCGCATATGCAGGTTTTGGACTATTAAAGTGTGTGTGCTCAGGTGTTAGAATTTGCCCACATGTGTGTAGATTTTTGCATCTTCAAGGTGCAGGCACAAGTGTGTCCACACATGCTTTGTGTGTGCTGAAAATTTACTTGTCACTTGCCAAAAGACAGCAAATCACAGGCAGAGCTGAGTATAAAACCCACATCAGTAGGCTCAGCTGACTACGTATATAATGGTAGCATTAACGTGGGATAACAGGCTGGTTGCAATTGACATCAGGTATTCTAAAATGGCAGTGACATTGCCCCTGTATATTTAGTGCATTACAACTGAAAACAAAGATAAGAGTTGATCAGAATAAGTTACTCGAGTTTGAAGTTGATTTCTGAAGTTTCAAAGGAAGGATATGCCTTTGTGAACAATTTGTATTTTATGGAAGGCCCTGCTTTGTTCTTTTAGCTGTGCTTTAATGGAAACTGTAGGTAATATTTTTAACCTGAAATCTCAACAGTATTATCATTGCAAAACCTACAACTGTTCACTGTTTTCCAACTGTAATTGGAATTTTATTGTATGTTACACAACCCTTTATTTCCAGCGTTTTAGTGGGAGAAGAGATAAAAAAAAAAAAACTATTCAAAAGTTCAGACAAGAAATACATTGCCATCTGTAATCATAGATTAGTTAGATAATAATAGCATTTACATGACACTTTTCATCTTTAGAGAGCTTCACAAACAATAAGTAATTCATTCTTCTTAACTAGATAAAACGTTCAGAGAATCCTGACTGTTAGTCATGTTGGTTCCCAGTCATTAGCAATCAGTTAAGTCGCCCCATTCCAATGACAGGCACAAGTGGCCCGATCTGCATGTGGTGCAAATTGGCGCAGCTCCATTGAAGTCAATTGAATTATGCAGATTTATACTAGCAGAGAATCTGGCCCGATAGGTCATGGAAATAATGAACATAATTCAGAATGGCCTAGGAGTGATGTAATAAATTTATGGGAGCAGCTTTCCATGGAAAATAGCATTAGTTTAGGGCCATATTTTTAAAGTAAGGCATGTAGAATTGCATGCATCAGTTTGCACTAACTGAAATTATGAGTACAAAAATCGATGTGCATGTGCAGATCAGGTCCTCACTCAATCACCTCTTCAGGTGGTATACATTGGTGAGGCTCCATTGATCTCAGTGGAATTTTGCCCATTTTACATCAGCCAAGAATCTGGTCTCTTTTGATAACTGGCCATGTGGGTGAATTAATACCTGATTTTTGCATGCACATCAGATATTTGCATGCATAAATTAACTAAGCCTGAGAGTTTTTTCTCCTCTATGATCTATAATTTAGTTAATTATTACTCTTCCACCTTTAAAGATTGCATGTGCCAGGAAGCAGAACATTAAATAAATGTTTGCCATTAATACAAATTAATGTGTTTTGACAGCTTGCTAATCAACTAAAGGAAAATGCTGCTACAGAAATATGTACAATTGCCATTTAAGCAATGGTTTTTTTTTAGGTGGGTGGGGATTCATGTCATTAAAATGTGTGCCTTTGAAAATTGTACAGGTTATTCTAAATTTTGCTATCTATAATATGCCGATATTCAGACAAATCAGAAGTTTTGTCTGTGCTAGCTTCGTGAAGGGGAATGGATTTGCACAGAATCACAAATCCATAGCTAATCTTGGTGGACATTTGACCGTCATGTGCCAATTGCATCAGTCGTTTCCAGTACAGAGAGTCTTAATTAATATGCAAGTGATTGATTTAATATTGATTAGATCTTAACATCTTGTTGTGTACTTTACACATTATGCAGGTATGGGATGTTTCTGGGGAGCAGAGAGAAAGTTTTGGACACAGAAAGGAGTCTACTCCACTCAAGTGGGTTATGCAGGAGGGTGTACCCCAAATCCCACCTATGAAGAGGTTTGTTCAGGTATGTCTGTTTCCTTTGATTTCACAGATCATGGACCTGATCCTATGAGATTATGATCTATTTTAGTGGGACTGGAGGGTGATCAGAGCCGCTCAGGATTGGGCCCATAATGAACACTGATATCTACTGTACCAATCTAAATGTTAATATAATGTAAGATATTTACAAGCAACCATCATCCCCTAGTATCTAATTAGCTGGGGTGCATACAAAGACACTAAGGATGGAAAAGAAACAGGTTTACATTGTTATTGTCTCTTGTATTTTTCCTGTATGCTCTCAGGAAATTTTAACTATCGTATATTTCTTCTTTGGAAAACTGATAATGTACAGTTCAAACCATTCCTTTAGTACTGACAGAAATCAGGAGTCAGATCAGTCTTTCTTTTTATCCCTATAGTGTCTTGTGGTGATAAGTTTAAATATCATCTCTCTCCTGAATTATTTTCAATACTTTATCTTTTATATACACCCAACAACCACTAGCCCACCAGACCAAAACAAACCTCCAGGATTTGTCCATGCTCCGTGCTCTCACCAGTCCTTCCACCCTATTACAACCAAAAGCTTCCATTGTTTTTACCCATAATTCAAATCCCATAATCCTTTACAGCCATTTTACACTGATTAGTGCTGCTCTGAAAGTATATGCATGCTGGGCATAGTTCTCCCAGCGTGCTCTCCTACACAGTCATTAGTAGACGATAGCTTTGAGGTTTCACTTTGCTTTTGTTCTCTTGTCAACACTTTTCATGCCAACTGCTGAGGCGGCTCTACCACTTTTGTTTATTACCGGGCACCTAGGGATGACATAAAACAGTGGAAAAAGTTTGGCAGTCCTAGCAATTAATAGATGTCACATCCGCCGAAGAGAATTGCTGCAGAGTACCCAAGGAAACAGAAATCATCTGTAAATAAACAAGACTGTGAAAAGTGATGCTGTGTCTTTATTAAGCAAGAAATGAAACACTTATAGGAAATTACTCTAGAAAGCAAAAATTACGGGAGCTGTTTTTACATAGGCACAGAGGTAATCTTTCACTAGTGACAACTAACAGCCAAAGTGTTCCTGAAAGTAAGGACTCCGTGGAAATGAACTTAAACCCCACCCCCCGCCCCCAAACTAGAATACTGGGAGAGGGTACTGTACCTTTGGCATTAAGTGATGCCTGGGCAGCTGCAGGCTAGACCCTGGGCTGCGGCACCTGCAGGCTGCTGGGAAGCATAGCCACAAGGAGAGTCATCACATGTTAAGAAAACAGCGCAGTGGATCAGTCACGTCTTTTTCATTTGTCCAGATCATCCATTACCTCCTTTCCGAAAGCTTAACTTCCACAGTATTACACCTTGGGCCTTGTCCTCCACTTCAGTGCACCATGTGCAGTGTTTACGATAGTGTGTAATCCTCTAGCCATCCAGCACTTTCAGTCCATTCTCTTCAACAGCCTGAGCATTAGCTTGTAAAAGGCCCACAAAATGTGACCATAATTCCCCTGATTATCAGACCTTTTATATTGGATAGTGAAGGATGTTACAATTTCCCCCATCCCAACACACACACACAGTCCTGGTACGCGGAGGGGATTTAGGGTAGAATTTTGAGGGTCCCTCTAGTCTAAAGATACGAAGTGCTGGCTGCTGGCCAGGGGAGGTGGGATCAGAGGTGGGAACGGGATGGGCTGGGAGAGACAGTGAAGTATACTGAGAGTGTAAGCTCTCTTGAATAGCTGCATTGTAGACTGGTCCTCCTGCTGGACTTCAGAATAGCTATAGAGAGAGAGGGTAATATCCTGTTGTAACAGGGTCCTTGGGCTGAAGAGTAATCCAGCTCAGAGTACCAGATGAGTCCCATTTGAGAGGGATCAGGTGATTCTCCTCTAAAGAGCAGCTGGAAGCTGCAGGTGTGGGTATTGCTCAAGGAGAAGAGAGACTGCTAGGAGTGAGTAGGCTCCAGCAGGGTCCTGGGATCTGGGACTAACACTACAGCCAGGAAGGGTTGGGAGTAACCTGCTAATGCAGGAGGGATCCTGAGCAGACAAGGGAAAGAGTGCAAAAGCTCTCCAGGCAGAGGAGCTTGGTATTCGTGTTCTTGCCAGCAAGTTAAAAAAGTATGGATTGGATGAATGGACTATTACGTGGTGTAGCGATGCGGCGACTCACCGGTGTGGCGCCTCCTGCTGGTTTTCCAGGGAATTAGCTTTTCCAGCCTTGGAGCGCCCTCTGCTGGCCGATGTCTCGCTTGTCGCTGGCCCCGTGTCCCTCCCGGACCCCGGTGCCCCTTTACCTTGGGTGCTGCTCCCTGGCAGTACCCCCACAGATCTGGGTCTCCCCTCCCCAGGGAACCCCCAACCCTCTATCCCCACCTCACCTCAGTCTATGGCTACTGCCAGTCACCATCTAGCCCCCGCTCACTGGGGCAGACTGCAGTGTACAAGCCATTCATCACTGGCAAAGTGGGGTTTGGACCTGCTGCCTTTGCCTAACCCCTGGGCTACAGCCTCTGCAACCCCAGTATCTGGTTTGGCCTTGCACGGGGCCTGCAGCCTGGGGAGTTGCCAGGGGGGAGCTCCCCAGCTCCTCTCACCTTTCCCCAGCCCTGCTCTGTTGCCTGTACCCACGGCTCCCAGGCAACTAGGTCCTTCTCCGTCTGAAGCTGGAGGGAGAGTGTGCCTAGCTCCTGGCTCATAGCCCTTTTATCAGGGCCAGCTGAGGGCTGATTGGGGCGTGGCCCAGCTGTGGCTGCTTCCCCAATCAGCCTAGCTTTTAGTTCGCAGCTCCAGCCCCGTCCCAGGGCTGGCTGTAACCCTTTTCAGACCAGGGATTGGGTAATCACCCCGCTACAGGTGGATAGAAAGCTGGCTAGATTGTTGGGCTCATCAGGTAGCGATCAATGGATCGATGTCTAGTTGGCAGCCGGTATCAAGCAGAGTGCCCCAGGGGTCAGTCCTGGGGCTGGTTTTGTTCAACATCTTTATCAATGATCTGGATGATGGGATTAATTGCACTCTCAGTAAGTTTGCAGATGACACTAAGATGCAGGGAGAGATAAATACGCTGGAGGGTAGGGATAGGGTCCAGAGTGACCAAGACAAATTGGAGAATTGTGCCAAAAGAAATCTGATGAGGTTCAACAAGGACAAGTGCAGAGTCCTGCACTTAGGACTGAAGAATCCCATGCACTGCTACAGGCTGGGGACTGACTGGCTAAGCTGCAGTTCTGCGGAAAAGGGGATTACAGTGGACGAGAAGCTGGATATGAGTCGGCAGTGTACCCTTGTTGCCAAGAAGGCCAACGGCATATTGGGCTGTATTAGTAGGAGCATTGCCAGCAGATCGAGGGAAGTGATTATTCCCCTCTATTTGGCATTGGTGAGGCCACACCTGGAGTAATGCGTCCAGTTTTGGTCCCCCCACTACAGAAGGGATGTGAGACAAATTGGAGAGAGTCCAGCGGAGGGCAACAAAAATGATTAGGGGGCTGTGGCACATGACTTATGAGGAGAGGCTGAGGGAACTGGGCTTATTTAGTCTTCAGAAGAGAAGAGTGAGGGGGGATTTAATAGCAGCCTTCAACTACCTGAAGGTGGGTTCCAAAGAGGATGGAGCTAGGCTGTTCTCAGTGGTGGCAGATGACAGAACAAGAAGCAATGGTCTCAAGTTGCAGTGGGGGAGGTCTAGGTTCGATATTAGGAAACACTATTTCACTAGGAGGGTGGTGAAGCACTGGAATGGGTTACCTAGGGAGGTGGTGGAATCTCCATCCTTAGAGGTTTTTAAGGCCCGGCTTGACAAAGCTTTGGCTGGGATGATTTAGTTGGTGTTGGTCCTGCTTTGAGCAGGGGGTTGGACTAGATGACCTCCTGAGGTCTCTTCCAACCCTAATATTCTATGATTCTATGATTAGGAAGAGAAATATTTGTTTGTGGGACTTTAATTTGGGACTTGGAGTTTTATTTTGAGTTATTTTCTGTGACTAAACCCAGACCCCAAAGACGGGTGTTTTGGATTCAAGAAAAGCATGTGGAGTCTGTAAGGAGCCCTTTGAAAAGGGAGAAATTATTAGCAGGTCACTGCTCAGACACCCCTGGCCACGAGGGGGCGCACAGGGGGCCTTCAACCCTATTACACTTGTATACTGTATTTGTCTGTTTGATTTTGACTGTAAGCTTTTTGGAGCTTGTACCATGTCTTTTCATGCATAAATACGGCATAATAATTAATTAACTTATGCTCCTGGAATAAAGAGGGGGCCGGGGAGCCATAGAACCCAATCTGCAATTGGCTATTGCAGGTGAGAGATGGTCTGACAAAAGATAGCTCAGGTTCAGATGGCTTGAAGGTGCCCTGCAAAAATAGAGCATTACAATACCAATAATACTAACTTGCACGTGTGTGTATGCCTTTTACCCACGGATCTCAGAGCACTTTATAAATCAGTTGTGCCTCCTAACCCTACTTTTACATACAAAGGCCAGAATGGTACCATTTGCATAGTGATCACCTGTGCCCAAAGTGAGGGAGGTCTTGGGAAGGAGTGTCACACCTTCTCTTGCCAAATGGTGGGAAATAGTGAGGATTTTTTTTTAAATGGAAAATGGCCATTTTTAAACCATAGTTAAAACATTGAATGTATCATTTTTCTGAAAAAAAAAAAAACCCACTCAGAAATTTCATTTAGTGACAGTTATGGTTGCCTCAGAATAAACCTCACCACGTCAAAACCTTATGCCTTGTTTATACTAGAAGGGATTTGTTGATATAGCTATTGATGTGTAGAGCTCTGTCCACGGCATTTTGAAAGTTCACTAGATTCCAGCTGGTTCACCTCCATGGTGGGAAGGTGGAAGAGCCATGATTTCTGCTTGCACAAAATAGCGGTCAGACCCCTGTCATACTATACAGAGCATAAACGGTTGTTCTACAGATCGTCCTATCAATTGGTATGGTGTTGCCTTGTTAAATTGATGGTTAGAGATAATCGAGCTCTTGTGAAGCTTATG